TTAAAAAAAAATGCTTGATTGACTGACGTTTCATAGACCTTCAGTTGTTAGATTTTCAAATTTCATGCCATTTGTCATTTCACAGTATTTTCACCTCCATTACACGTGTGAAGTCACAATTCTATAATGGTAGCCTACAATTTACTCAGGCCGATGACATTTTTTTGTATGACATTTAAAATTATTTTTAGAATAATTGTACATAAATAGGTTAAGCAAAACAATTGTGATTATTTCTGAGAACTTTTTAACTGCAGGCAGACTTAGGCCTACATTATGGTACAGAACAAATATTTGGAACGTCCCTTATTCTGTCCCTTATTTTCTTAAAGAATAAACACTTATTTTCTACAAGAATAAACACTATTTTCTTAAAGAATAAGAGAAAGAATCACAATTGTCCCTTATTTTCCATTTCTTATGTTAATTGGCAATGATGACATAATTATCTTTTGACTCCCCTGACAGCGGAACCTTGCTAAAAAAAAAAAAGTCATTGTTGGAGATATGCGAGCAAAAAATAATAGATAAAAAATGTATAATAGAAAGTGCAAAGGCGGCACTGCAAAGGCCAGTTAAAAAACAACAAACAAAGTGGGCCGGTCTAAGGCATGAAACTCCAGGGCTGAAGTTTCAGTTAAAATGACGTCAACACAAGTAACGCTGTGTTTTCTTTAATTGAAAAATATGCATTTTCATTCATTCAAAGGCTATAGTTGCAATAATAATTTAGATCAAAACTTTAAGTGCCATTGTTTACAAAAAAAAAAAAGCTTGATTGACTGACATTTCATAGACCTTCAGTTGTTAGATTTTCAAATTTCATGCCATTTGTCATTTCACAGTATTTTCACCTCCATTACACGTGTGAAGTCACAATTCTATAACGGTACAGTTTACTCAGGCCGATGACATTTTTTGTATGACATTTAAAATTCCACTCCGGCACTGGCCTGAGGCGTAAGTATGGCAGACCGTTTCTGCCACAGTCGAGTAAAAAACATGATTCTGTAAATCATAATAATGATTTTTAAGTTTCTCATTATTATGAGAACGTTTCTCATTATTATGATTTACAGAATCATATTTTTTACTCGACTGTGGCAGAAACGGTCTGCCATACTTGCGCCTCAGATTCTACGTCACTTGAACAATAAGCCACGCCCACTGATTAGAATTTGCATACAGGTTCACTTTGAAAATGAAAACGAAAACTGTGAAATAAAAGACACAATAAAACTAAAATAAAAAGAATTGTAAAAAATGTATTTGCATTTTCTTTTTCACTTTTGCCTTTTCATTTTAATATTGGCAGTCTTGCCTATTCAGTTTGCAATGAAAATTAAATGTCAAATCACTGCATTTTATTTTTCAATTTGAAAGGGACGATGCATTGTTATTGAAAATGAAAATTAAATCATTTCATTTCATTTTCAATTTGGGCACATATTTTGCACACTTTTTTTATAATGAAAGTGCTAATCTGGTTTTCGTTTTCATTTTTATAATTTAATTAATTTATTTAAAATTGGCAGAAAATACCTTCCATATAGAGGCAATTCGGTCATGCCTAAAAAGTATTGTATCTAAAAGTATCTAAAAAGTAACTTGATACCCAGCCCTACCTGGACCACATTACTGAATTCTCCTGACAAATTTGCAAGTGTTGGTTTAAGAGAAATTATGAAGAACGGAAACAGAATGTGGAAAATATCAGGTTTTGGCAGTTCTAACTTGGTCCCTCACATACCTCGTTTTTATTGACATGCCATAAAACCATAACCGTCTCCCTCTCTGAGCTGCTTTGTACAATAATCCAGAGTAAGCACATTTTTATGAGATTCCCTAGACCTGCAGTTAAAGTACACAGACACGCACACCAATGGTGAGCCGAGTCTGCAAGGATGGGGCCTGATTGTGAGGGAATCCTTTGTATGGCATGAAGTCATGACTGATGAGATTGGTACCAGCCACGGAGAGACCTAGAGGGGCCTTTCCACGTAGAGGACCACAAAAACATGCAACCCAGGGAAAGGAAATGTGAGGAAACTAGATTTAGGACAACACTGCTTCCTTCTCAATTTAAAAGAACTAAGCAAATCCCCAGGGCAACCCTCTAAAGAAACAAATTCAGTATGCCAGATGGCCAGAGAGACCCTATTCCCTAAACAGATGATTAAACACAATACAGTCACATGCCCATCCACCCCACCTTCGTCCATCGGAAGAGTGAGGCACAGTTGCCCATATGTTCATGCATTATTAAGAAGGTGCACTTCTTCTCCCCACACCAAAATCCCTCCATTATTTATGCTGAAGGACTGAGTAGGATCCTAACAGGCATATAGGATTTCTTCATTTGTTGTGCAGGCTCTGTCCAATGAGGGAGGCTGGGAGTGGGTGGGAGCAAGTGAGCAGGCTATAAATAGATAGCTCTCTAGCTCTCTGACTCCATGTGGAGGCTGACACGGGATGCGCTCAGCATGCATAACAAGTAAAGGTAGCACCGAAGAATTCTTGCGGCCAAACATAGCCCCGCGCTGCAGCTCACTGGCAGCCATTTGACAGACCTGCTGATTAAAAGGTGTAAAGCGGTCTGTGAGAGGGTCTAGCTGGTACTCAGCATTAATTTTATCCAAACATATCCAAACAACTGCTGCAGGAGATGCAGACTTCTTGGCTGAGCAATGAAGCCAGTATGAAGATGTTATGTAATGCAGCTAAAATGGGCGTCGGATACATCCTATGCCTCTAGGCAATGCTGAAATGACTGATTGGAGTGTGCATGAGTCAAACAATCTGCTAGCACACAACACAGTGTTCTTAAATGATCCAAAACATATATTAGTAACTTAAATATGAAGCTACTAATATAACTCAAAGTATTACATTTGTAATCAGTTCAAAAGTTAATTTAACAACAGATTCAGATGACTGCTGACTTCACCCCCCCATAAAAAAAGAATCATGTTTTTTGATTGATTTTAGAAAAGTAAAGACAGTATCTATACAATATTCACTCATATTGTTCAAATAATATCATACTCAAAATTGGACATACAAAAATATGAGCACTGCACTGAGCAAGGCCATCAGCCATCACTGCCAACAACAAAAACTGCAGGTGTGGTATTGCTTTCATACAAAATTCAATAAACAAGAAGTTAAGAACAAGTAGCTTGCCTTTCAGACAAAAATGGCTAATAGTTTTATATATTTCTTCCCTGCCAATGAAAACAGTTCTGATAGAAGCCAAAGAATCACTGCACGGACTAAAACTGGTCTGGAAAAAAATAATTTCAGTGCAGATATACATGTATTACGGCTACATATATGGCTACATAATAATTTTTTATTTATTTATTTTTTATTTTTCAAAGAATTTCTGATGTGTTACATTGCGTGTCACATTTAGTGATATTGAGCTAATGTTTGCAGTTGATATCCAGACATTTCAATAGGAATCCGAGCAAACTTGAATTTCATGTAAGAGTGATAGACTTCCCCACTCAGATTCTGCAACAGGTTCACATGGATTGGTCACATGGATTCTTCACATTGACCTACAGAAAGCTATTCGGTTTGAATGTAACTTCTATGTGAGCTGTGCTGCACACACACACACACACACATATATATATATATATAGCTACACTATTGACAATAGACATTGAACCTTTTTTTAACAAGAAATGTAAATTTTGCTAATGTGACTGTACCTTTACATTAATGTGACTATACCTTTAACAATTCCACATCTATCACATATATTGTCCATTAACATGGACAACAACATTGAACACTGATTACTATACTAAATATCAACACTTATGGAATGCTTTTCATCCAAACAAATTTAAGGACTAGAACTACCTGCCATATGAAGATAGCATTGTGTTCCATTGTGTAATATATTATGCATGTATGCATCTTCAAAACGCATGTAAATATGTGGTTACATAATGAAACAATGCCTTCATCTTTCTCTTACGGAAGAGTTACAACCAACGGTCACAAAACATTCAATGCTCACCAAGCCCAAAGCGATGCATTATTGATATTTTTGCTGCTATCTCTTTAAATGGGATTGGTCTGTTTTGTGTGCGTGTGCATGTGAGAGAGAAAGAGACAGCGAGTGGGAGGCAAGCTTTGTGTGGAGAAACAGAATGAACGGGCTGTTATTTTAGGCTAGGGCATTAATTTACTTGTTTAATATTTCCTTCTATACACATGTGAAGTGATATTTTACGGGTTTGGTACTGAGAAAGGTTTACATCTCTATGGCAACATCGACATATCAAATTATCATCAGCTCCGCAAGGAAATAACGGGCAGGGCTGCTGCTGCTGCCACTGGTATATTTATTTATTTTCCCTCATGCGTCCTGCAACGTTGTGGGAAACGCCATCGAGTCAGGGAGCGATATCTGATTTATGATGGATTAATGGTCGTGTGAGCTGCATATGAAAGAAAGGTAAGAGAATCGACTATTAATACAGTCGATTATTCTGTAATGTGATGCATGTTTTGATCCAGCTTAGATGGCGTTTGACGCAAAGGATTCAAGGAAAACCAGGATATCAGCGACTGGTAATAACAATTGTCCCCGGGGAACAAGCATTGATAGGAAGAGGATCAATAGTGCTGATCTGAAAAAAGGGGAAAGGAGAAGGAAACGAGAATGCAACATTATTACCGCTCGGGTGAACGTGCATGTCTTTGGCTGTGTCTCAAAACCTAGTGTGCTGTCTACCTAGGCAGAATTTTGTACATCATCGCATGCTGCACGCAACCATACACTGCAACAAATATTTTCTATTTTTTTCTCTACTATTATTGACTTGTTTTCAAGTAAAACATCTAAACACATTTTAAACAAGATAAATGTAGCCTACTAATAAGAGTTGTTTTCCCCCCGAGAATATATTTTGAATTCCCGTTGACAAACTTGGTTCACCTAAACCTCACTTAAGTTTGTTAGAATTATGCTTAAAACAAGATATACTGTTTGAGAAAGGGGTAATTAAATAAACTTAATTCAAGCTTTTCAAATAAATTTATATTGTTTTAACTGGAAAACGAGACAAAATTGCTGATTAATGAAGAAAAATTCAAGTGATACCCTGTAGGCAGCTCGCTAGGTTTTGAGACAGTCTTTGTCTCGCTTATGGGCTGCTGAATATTCCTCATGCACATGACGTCACTTGTCCGTCTTTCTGAGGTCGAGATACACACGATATCCTCCGCGTTTTGCGCGGTTGTCATGAAGTAACAGACACATGTTTTGTTCGATAAACGGCAACGGCGTTTACACAACGCCACAAGGCCCTGTAGAGTGTTTGGTAATATTTAGACAACTGCATGATTTCACACTTGACGCCAAGGTTGCTCTCTGTGTAGTGTTACACGACGACAGGAATTTAAACGGATAGTTCATCCCAAAATGTATATTATGTCATCATTTACTCATGTTCTCCAAACCTGTATTACTTTATGTGGATTTATTTATTTATTATTACTACTACTATTATTATTATTTTTTTTTGCATATGTTAAAAGTGAATTGAAGGATTAGAGCAACAAAATGGTGATTAAATGATGACAGAATATTTATTTTCAGGTGAACCGTCCTTTCCAGAGATGATGCTGAGAGATAAAGCTTCACTGAAAGCACATGCTCATGGCTGCAAATCAAGACACACCTCTCAGTGTACAAGCTCAACTGTTGGGCTTGTAGGACTTCTTAAAAAGGCCTGTAGGATTTCTTAAAAAGTCTAGCCAGGGATTGATTCTCCTAAGCTGTTTAGAAGCTTGGAAGACCCTTGGTGATTAGGCCTACTATTCTAATTTAAAAACATCAGTGAGTTAACGAGAGTTAGGCTACGTTTAGAAAAGCATACGATAATAATACTCTTACCATTACCGCTGTACATAGTATTGTGCACTAAGTGTGCATATTTCCTGTATGCATACCTTGATGACCTACTGCATTTGCCAGTAATGAGCAGAATATAATATAAAACAGATAAACAGATTTTATATTTAAAATATAAACAGAGCTTACTGCACAGAATACTGTATCCCACAATGCGCTTTACTTGACTTTCCATTTTTAGTGATTAATTGCATGATATCTGAAATAATATATCAGCATTATTGTCAATGCTTCTTTCTTGGCTTATTTAATTGTATTGCTAATGTTAAGATATTACTTTTTTTTTTTTTTAAAGTGCAATTTTTTTATTTAACAGCCGAACACTATGGCCTGAATTAAACATGCAATGTGATTAGGTCATGTGATCATACCAGTACACAAAATATTTATCATGCAGTAATTTCACTTACAATTAAGTAAAAATAGCAGGCTTTATACAGTTTATACTGCACATGATTCGGTATGTAGTAAGCTGTTATTCTATTCGGAAAATTTCTAAATGACAGATGTTGCGTTTGGGAGCAAGAAAGAGAGAGAGAGAGAGAGAGAGAGAGAGAGAGAGATCTAATATGGGCACTTAAATCTGGTCTTTGCTCAGTATTCTTACATTTTAATTTTTTAAAATGTAAGATTTATTTTTAGCATTATTGCCTTTATTATATAGGACAGCAGAGACTTAACAGGAACAGGTGTGGGATCAAAAAGTATCAGAAGCCAGGACTCAGGCTGCCTAAAGCAAAACGACGCCACATATCGAACCGCTGTCCATAAGGCTATCGGCTCTGACAACATTAAATTGGAGATCTGCATGAAACATCAGCAGCGACAGATCTCTCTCTATTGGTTTGTCAGGAATAAGACCAGCGATAGCTACAGCTGTAACTAATATCATGGGTGAAAGTGAGCATGTGTGGAGGCCCACTCAGTGTTGACAGCGTAGCGTACATTATCCTCACTGAGAAAGTCTAGATTACACATCTTCACTTTCATACCGAGCATCCCCCTCTCTTCAGGTCAGTTGTTTGGGCAGTTCACACCCAGGACGATAACTATAAAGTTTTAATAATCATTCTAATTCCTTGAGAATAGAATTAGAGTAGCACAGCTATATAGCGATAATGATATTGTTGAAATCTCTTTTAGAATATTTTTTCCAGCTGATGAATGTTAAAACCCTGACAGTAAGAATCCACCAGCTTTGAAGAGCTTGAGTATTTAAAGTGGTACTGTAGATGACATTGACGCAGCGTGTGCTTAAACAGAACGCACTGTTGGTGTGGATGCTAAATAGTTATCGTAAAAGTTACCGTACTTGGTGTAATTGTGCCTTTAGCAGGTGGCTAGTTTATCAGTTTCTTACTAAGTCTGCTGTTTTCCAACCTATACAGTTTTGGCTTCCCACATGGAACACCTCAAGCTGTCTGAGATCAATCTAAAGTCTTCAGCTGGCACCTTGTGAACCTAATTAAGATGCTGTTTTGGAGACTGTACTTCATTCCTTATATATTTTTGTACGACTGCAGTCGGACACATGCTCTAAGAACCATTACATTAGCTAGCAGTGGCTCTTCCAGGAACAAAACAGACCCAGGTGCAGATTTCATACTGTTGTCCCACTTCCAAACTTCCAAAGACTCGGTTCAACTTCATCTAACTTCCGAAACTTAATTTGAAATTCCACCGAGGAAGTCTCAGAAGTGCTCTTAAGCCACCTCTCGCTGAGAACACGACTAGATTGCAGGGTTGCTTTGAACATGCAAATCCCTCTCAAAGAGACCACTGCCAATCCTGTCCACTCCAAGGAGCTTCCACTATCCCATCTCCCCTGTTCCCTCTCTTCCCATCCCCCACTCTCATTGTGTGCCAAGCACTGCACATCTGTCTGTGGCAAAAGTGCCGGGGCTCCATTCTCTGCTTGTTTGTTGTCATATGGCTTGTGTGTTTCGTCAGTAAATCCAAATAACATGGGTAAAGGCTGGGCCTGCAGGCAAACTGAAAAGGCTTTGCAAAGTGGCAGAGGGGAGAATGGATTTACTCCATGCAAACACGCTACCAACTGTTGGGGATATGTTCTGGAAAGTTTTTAGTGGTTTGCCCCTCGAGTGATGCAGACCAGTTCCCGTGTATTCGAAAGCATTAGCAAAATGACATGTTTTATAATGGCATGTTTGTAAAGGAAAGACTATCAGACCAGACATCTCCATGAGTTTAGAACTGTATTGAACTATACTATGCAAAGTCCAACTATTCAAAGTCCATTCTTTACTCATCCTCATGTTTTCGGAATTTGCATGACTTTCTTTCATCTGAAAAACACAAAAGAAGATGTTTGAAGAATGTTTTAGCTGTTTTTTGTTCATATGTGCCCCTGGACCACAAAACCAGTCTTAAGTCGCTTGGGTATATTTTTAGCAATAGACAAAAAAAACATTGTATGGGTCAAAATGATCGATTTTTCTTTTATGCCAAAAATCATTAGGATATTAAGTAAAGATCATGTTCCATGAAGATATTTTGTAAATTTCCCACCGTAAATATATCAAAACGTAATTTTTGATTAGTAATATGCATTGCTAAGAACTTGATTTGAACAACTTTAAAGGAGATTTTCTCAGTATTTTGATTTTTTTGCACTCTCAGATTCCAGATTTTCAAATATCAAATATTTCAAATATTTTGTCCTATCCTAACAAACCATACATCAATGGAAAGCTTATTTATTCAGAGAAATTCTGAGAAATTTCGAGAAATTGACCCTTATGACTGGTTTTGTGGTCCAGGGTCACATATAATGAAAGTTGGTGGGACCCAATATTTTCAAGCTCCAAAAAAGGACCTCATCGCCACCTACTTTGGAAGACAATATAAACTGAAAAAATAAAATTGGTGGTGAAACAGTTTTCACAAATAATAACAAAGAAATGACAGATGAATAACAAATAAATTTTCATCAAAGAGATGAAATAGTGTTTTCTTGTAAAACATACTTCTGTAACCTTTGCTTTATTTACAACTTCGAAAAATAATTTTTATAGTGTAATTTAAGGCATTAGCATGTGATACTAATTTGTAATGTTTATTTTGAATAGAGTACAGGTTTTTTTCTTCTTTCCGTTTTGGCCACGAACAGACAATAATCCTTAGAAAAGAAGGAAGTACTTAGACGTTTCTCCAAATTTGGGATTGACCCAATAGTCTTTATTTTGATGTTATTATAGATTTTTTTGCAAAGGTATTTAATATCCAGAGCTAAAAGCATGAGAATAAGCTAAACAAACAAGTTTAATCAGATATTTAGTTGATCTGTTTGTAACCAAGCAGTTAATTTATCTTCTATAAGCTAATTCTAGCTATTCTAATCCTCTCAGCTTGATTCAGAAAGAACTTCTGTATGTGTGGCACTTTTATTTGGAAAAGTAGAAAGGTGCTCAGCATGCGGACACAATTTATAGCCAAGTGCTTCTAAAACACACACCCCCACCCCTATTATTTGAATTTCAAAAAAAAAAAGGCTGCCCACTGCTCCGGGTGTGTGTTCACGGTGTGTGTGTGTTCACTGCTGTGTGTGTGCACTTTGGATGGGATAAATGCAGAGCACTAATTCCGAGTATAGGTCACCATACTTGGCCACATGTCACGTCACTTGTTTCGGTGTATAAAAACCCACTGACTGAAATATGAGAACACTATACACGCACACACACACACAGCAAGAGGTTATAGTTAGACCTTCGCACAGAGGGGTCACTATGTCAGAGAACTGCTGATCAACATATATACTGGTTATTTTAACACAGATCTAATGCTACATACTTCCTGTGTGAGTGAATCAGTTGTCTGAGTATTGTGAAAATTCTAAATATTGTTGTTTTGGTAAAGAATATCACTACGGTATTGCGAGGTAAAACTATACTTTTAAATATAGATCCCCACCCCAACTCTTATTGCACATTACTTCTTTTTCTTTAAAATAATACTTTTTTTTGCTGAAATAGAGGGTAAAGACAGCATATGGATGGGGCCTTGGCAAGCTGCCACCGCTTCTTTCTTGGCACATATCTCGGTACAGAAAGATCCCATCAAGCCCCGTCAAAAATATGTCAGCTAGCTTTTTTTTTTATATCACTTGTCGCTCTCCACTCAAACATTTGCTGCACATGGTTTGACATCACATCTCTGGCCCAATGAGTGTTGATTTGCCCCAGTGCAAAGGACCACTAGCCCTTTCTGTGCCAACTTATTGAATGGTTCTGATTTATATTAAGAACTCTCAACTGCATTGCACACACAACTGACACATCTTGGTTGGCCAAAGCGCTCATCTGCAGTGCAGAAGTGTAGCTGAAGGCATTCTGATGTGCTTCATCAGGCAGTTCAGTTGCTGTCCTTGGTGCTGAAGTTGCACTAACAGGTCCTTTTCTCTCTCTCTTTCTGTTTCCTTCGCTCCCTTTCCACTAGCTGCATTTTTCCATCTGCTTTTTTTCTTTATACGTCATGTAGATGTCTGCTATTTGAGTTACTTATAGTTCCCCTTAATATTGGGTGCTATATTTGTCTGCATGCCATTTTTTCCTCTCTGTATACTACCATTTAAGATGAAGTCATTTGTGTTTTAATACAGTGTTTCCAAAGCTTTTTTGTTTTGTGTACCCCTACATTCCCATCAATAAGGCCCAAACACCCCTTCATCAATATCAAACCTTTAGCATTGTTATTAATCTTACTAAAATTGCTATTAAATATGCACATATATTCTGAGAGTCATTCACACAAATTAACCAACTCAAAATGTACACATTTTGTTTTCTTTTTCTTTTGTGACTGGGTATGTTTATACATAAACCCAAGTAATAATAAAAAAAAATCTAACAATATGAAATATAAATTCATTGTCTCTTTTACTTACTTAGTGGAGAAGAGGAGAGCAGTTTCCACAGCTTCTTCATGGGGGCGGCAGCTGAACTGATTTGTTCTAGTGCTGGATGTGAAGAGAAGAACCACACAGCTTCAGCATCTGAATTTTAAATGATTATTATTTGAATTTCAAAAAAAAAAAGGCTGCCCACTGCTCCGGGTGTGTGTTCACGGAATATGAAATATAAATTCATTGTCTCTTTTACTTACTTAGTGGAGAAGAGGAGAGCAGTTTCCACAGCTTAGCAGAGCTGCTCACACTTATATGTGACCAAAAACTAAAAAAAGATATAAGAACATGTTTGTTTGGAAACCAGTTACATGTTTAAAGTTCAATTTGTATTTAAATTTTAAGAATGAAATCATTTATCTGTTGAGAGTGTGTTGACAGTCTGTGTAGTTGGATCACTGAGCTCCAGAAAATCAGTAATGAGGTGCTTTGACAGTTACAGATTTGAAAAACAAAAGGGCGGGAATAAAGAACCCTAAACTCTAGCACAAAGAACCATTTCAGCATGAAAGGGTTCTTCAGAATCCTATGGTTCTAAATAAAACCAAATGCACGTAACGAACCTTCAAAGAACCATCTTTTTTTTTTAGAGTGTAGCACTTACTGTACTTCTCTGTTTATCAGATGTAATCTTAGAAAGCTCCACCTCTAGAGTGTGGGTAGAAATGGGGTTTGTGGTCTGCTCTTTAGTGTTTGGTTTCCTAGGGAAACAAATTAGATGTACTTTTCCCCCACTAGTTTTCAAAAGCTGTAAAATGAGTTGTGAATTTGCATAGTTTTTACCTAGATTGTGTTTCTCCTGTGGAAGTCTAGTGGTCATTCAGTCAAAACACTCTCATGCAAAATCAAAATTTTTGCTTTTCTTTATGTAAATCCATCTCATTTGCTTTTAATCATTTTGCATTCAAAATAACTATAGGCTGTTTATAGTATAAGTGTTTGAGCTGCGGAGATAGGCACGGCAGGGCTTATTGAGAAAAATGTCTGAAAGCAAGCTACACTCATTGACATTTTACACTTGAAGCATTAGTGCACAGAGCACACACACCTGCATGGAGGTTTTAAGGTGGACCAGAGTGTTGAAAAGGCGGCTCTGTTTCACAGTATATTCTTCTGTCACTTTCTACAATGTCCGTTCTCAGAACAATTCTCAGTCCTGTTTTGTTATTTTATCACTGCTTCTGTTTCACTGACTGTTCATTCTTTTTCTTTGTTCATTCTTTGTACTGCAATGTATCTATTCTGCAGTATAATTTACTAATTTTCACTCACTCTCAATGCATACAATGAACTGATGATCTGACTATATTGTAAATAATAAATGAGCCTGAGAGTGCGTGAGTGAACACCTGCATTGATGGGTGAAATACAGTAAAGCAGTTGACGCATATGCTATGTCATGCATCTCCTGAGCTCACTATCAAGGCGTGTATCAAAGATCAAATTTCTAGGTTTGTTCACTCTTTCCATACCGACATTTACTATCAGTGTCTGTAGACAAAAACTGCTAATGTCATTGTTCTTACTATGGCAATCGATGTAGATATATCAGATATTGAACAAATGGATCCAATTACTTGCTAAATAACAGCGAGTAGCCAGTCAGTCTTAAAGATCGGATTTGAAACACAAATCTAATTTGTTCAGTCAGTGTTAACCAAACCTTTGAATCTACGTCTACTGTTACAAATATTAGGCTACAGTGGGGCTAAAAATCCCTCTTAAGCCTTTACAAAATGTGTGGAAAATAGTAGAAGTTGTTTTGATGAAAAATTATGTAAATATAAATGCAGCTAAAGTGCTTTTTGCTAAAAGTGTAAAAAGAAAAGTGATTACCAAACTAACAGTGTTTTTGCCTGTTTTTGACTTTTCTTTGTCTTGTCTTTTAGCTTTCAGCCCTAAAAACAAAAATTAAAGAAACCTTAGGAAAATGTAACATTTACTGAAAGAGAGAAACATGAATAATAATATTTTGCTACAAATATTTATCTATGAAATGGATAGCCGCTGAAATTGTTGGCAGGGCAAGTATAAATCTGTCATTGGAAAAAACTGTTATTATTAAGCCCTGGCATAGAAATGAACACTTTCTTATGAGCTGTGATCACATTTATGGATAGTGTGATTTTTTTTTTTATCATAATATATTTTTAAATATCAGTGTCAAGACAGGTTATGATTCAACTCTGGTCTATTCACAGGCTTCCAATGCTGAATATGTCCACTCCCAGTGAACTCAAGTCTCCCTGCGTGACTCGGAACGGCATGGTCAAGCTGTCCCCCCAGCCCAACGGCCTCGGTTCGGCCAGCATTACTAAAGGCACTCCAGCTGCCAAGAATCGCCTGTGCCAGTCGTCCTCCGTGCCCACCATCTTGCCTCCCCCTAGCCTTCCCTATCACCTAGAGCCCCTGCCCACAGCGGCCTCACTGCTGGGCCCCGACCTGGACACGAGCCCCGTGACTGCCATCAAACCTCCCCTCCGGCAATTTCCCAAGCCCATGCTGGAGAGACAACTGGTGCTGGACGAGAAGGTGCTGAACCGGCTCTTATGGTACTTCACCACGGCAGAAAAGTGCATTCTAGCCCAGGTGTGCAAGACGTGGCGGAAAGTGCTCTACCAGCCCAAGTTCTGGGAAGGTGTGACGCCCATTCTACATGCCAAGGAACTCTACACTATCCTGCCCAATGGGGAGAAGGAGTTTGTCAGCCTGCAGGCTTTTGCTCTCAGAGGCTTCCAGTCCTTCTGTCTGGTGGGGGTCTCGGATTTGGACATTTGTGAGTTCATCGACAACTATCCATTGTCGAAGAAGGGAGTCAAGTCTGTCAGTCTAAAGAGGTCGACTATAACAGATGCGGGACTTGAGGTAATTATAGATTCCAGGTTGTCATGCTGTCTTTTATTTGACTATCAAGCAATTCAGATATCATTTGAATGCAAAAAAACATGTGTATAATGTGTAATGGTCAAAATCTATCAACAGGTAGAGATTTATACCAAAAGTATATACAAAATAAATAAATAATACACTGCAAACTGCTTCCAACAAAATAATGCCAAGCTTATTGTGTTATGAATATTCTAACATTTTGCTTTGCAATAGTCAGATTTTGTGTTTAAATTCAATAAAATGAATTTACATTTAATGTACTCTTTTTACATTTCTGGGGTTCTTAGAAACACAAGTCCTCATAGATGATAAACTTCAATAGTGGTAAATGAAAACTACAACAAATATCGTTTTTATGTTCAAATTTGTTCCAATAGCAAAGGGGAAAAAAATCAACGATAGCATTTCTATAATTTTACAAAAGAGGAAAATACATATTGAGAGATTGATTATTTGGTCAGAAGAGAAAATGTCAAAGTTGCCATCGTTCCCTCAGCCATTGTATTAGAAAAACATCTTGTGTTCTGTGATTTAGGGTACTATAACATTAGGTAGGTATAGGTATAAAATGCACATTCCATTAAAAAAATAATTAAATATAAATAAACTGGGTTACACTTTATTTCGATAGTCCACTTTAGACATTCTATTAACTATAAGTAACTTTGTAACTACATGTCAACTACATGTCAACTAATTCTCATTAATTTGCAACTACATGTCTACTAACTCTCAGAGTAGACTGTTAGGGTAGGTTTAGGGTTAGTAGAATGTTGACAAAGAAAGTGTTAGAAGATATTAAGCAGACAGTCTACTAATACTCTACTAACTGCTAGTTGACATGTAGTTGCAAAGTTACTTACTGTTAATAGAATGTCTAAAGTGGACTATCGAAATAAAGTGTTACCATAAACTGTGGAAACATGTCAGCACAGTCTGTGAAAGAGGTCCATTTGTAAAGTATTTACTTCTAAATTTCTGATTAATTATGAAAAGTTCATGTAGTATTTCAAACATGAGTTGAACCATGATTACTCTTAAAAATTAATCCTTAGTTTAAAGATCGCCATCATTTACCACCCACCCCTAAGTATGATTAAATAATTAGCTGGATGGTAATTTGGTCGGAACATCTTACATACATGGTTAGAAACAATTGTGTTTTGCAAGAACATGCAGCAATGATCACACTCATCACACTTGTCTCTATGCTGTTGCTATTCTAGGACTGGGCTTTTGTTGCCATGGTGAACTCTCAAATTGTTCGTGACAGCATCCAAGCTTTTTCCCCACAGATATGCAAACCAGCATGTGCAGTGATAGAGGCTGTGGAGTTTCTTCTGTCTGAGAGAGGACTGTGCACCTCTGGCTTGTTTGAGAATGATATAGGGCAGGGCAGATATCACAGCACAACGCTTGGATCATGACCAAGTACTCAATAAGAGACCAGACTCCTGCCTTCAAGAGTTGTTTTTCTTGCTGAAATTAGCTCTTTCATTTGCATTTTGTCTTAGCCATTGGTCCCTTCATTATAAATATAAGATGTCCCTGAAACTTTTAAGTGATTAAAAACAGAAAATCTGCACATTGTTCCCTTTTTTCTTTGGCTCAGTAACTAGGTCAGTGGGGTCACACAATCCATTAGTTGCGGACCATCTAAATGCAAACATTTGCTGTTAATCCCAAAGAATTGGCTTAAATATTCAGGTGTACATTAATTGGGCCACACACTGGAAATATATTTTGGACAATCTTTAATAACCTGCATTTAATTGAATTAGAAAGGGCTCTATGAATCTTTCTGATTAGGAATATAGTCAGATTTCCAAATGTACATCAATCAGGGGTGCGTTTACCAAAAGTATTGTTAGCCAACTATGGTCGCAAGTTCAGTTGAACTATACTGGTAACAACAGAACTTGCGACCATAGTTGCTTTTGGGAAATGCACCCCTGGTTAGGAATTAGCCTAGTATTAGAAAAGATAAAATAATCCGCAGTTTCTTTAAGACAAATAATTGGAAGTGCTTTAGATACCAATCTTTATCACCATTATTATTATTATTATTATTTCCATTTTGTCTAGTTTTATAAATTAAAGAATGTGGCATTGAAGAAATGTTAAAGGCTATATTGACAGCATTTGTAGCATAATGTTGATTACCACAGGAAATAATTTTGACATTTAATAATTATGTCCTTCATTAATTTAAAAAGAAGCCGAAATCGCATGCAAAATATAGTAACTACACATCTGGCCGAACAGACACACTGAAATCGGGTCTCTTGAATTATAATCTGTTCTGTGACATAAGGACTTGGCTCAACTAACCAGGGATTGAAATTAACTTTTTCACTCACCAGCCAATTTGGCTACTACATTTTTAAGTTACCGGCCATTCATAACTTCTACTAG